GCCCTGACGACTGGTTTGATGGTTATATGATGAGGGAAACTGGTGAAGCTGGTGAGATGATGCAGAAAGGGTGGAGCTGAGCAGGTGTATGAGTGATCAGCCCAGCATCAGTGCCAAGATCATTACAGAGATTCCAATATTTCTGCAGTTTGGAGACAATAAATCTGATATCTGATACTACAACAGTATGAAGACGGTCAGAAATGTTATTAGCACCCAGAACAGTAGTGAGAAGATCAGCAGCCATTCTTTGCCTGCTTTTGGTGTCAACTGTAATGGTTGCTAGGCGACAGAGCGTACAGACCATAACAGCCGGAGAAGGCTGGACCTGTTTGAATCCACAGCCTAAACTCTTCCAGTCTCCTTATTTTCACAGACCTGGAGGGACCCGGTCCAGGTAGACCAAGTCCTTGGAAAACTCAACCAGCTGGCATTCACCTTAAAGGAGCACTACTGCCACCTGCTGGACAGGATGTGAAACAGTAGCTCAGTGGCGTGGATGAATGAAAGCTGGTGATGACGTGGCGGCCAACAACCAACTCTGATTCTCTAGAGCGCATAGATGCTGAGTCCTTCTGTGGTTCATCCCTCTTAGCATCATGGCAGAAGAAGAGGGGGTGGAGTAATAAGACCTCAGAGTTCATCTGTACTACAGACTGGACTGGAGACGCAACTGTGAAGCTTTAGCTGAGAAAAACAAAGCCGGAGAAGGCTGGACCTGTTTGAATCCACAGCCAATCCACGGCCTCCTTATTTTCACAGACCTCCAAGGACTCAGTTCAGGTAGACCGAGTCCTTGGAGGATGCAGCCTCTGAAATCAAACACAGCCAGTTTCTGCAGTCCTGTTAATCATCTAAATACTTCATCCAGGTGTGTTGCACCAAGAACACCAAGAGTTCTCCACCCCTGCTATAGTCACAGATGCCGTACAGTAGACTGACCGGAGCGAGGCTCCATAGAACTGTAGCCTTTGACCCCCGACATCAGATAAGGCTAATGAAGTGCCTCGCCTGAGGATACCATGGAGGAGACAGAAGGAGTGGAGGCTCCCATCAGGCAGATTATATTCTAAAATAGGGCCACAAGGAACGAGTGTTTCTCTCATAAACGTAGCTATTAGAGACGTTGCTGGTGAAGGTTCTCAGTCATCCAGGTCATAGTGATAAAAAATAGATTAAAAACAATCCACTGGACTTGGTTTCCAAGATAAAAGACGTTTCTCTTCCCATCCAGGAAGCTTTTTCAATTCCACCCCATTCCAAAGGGGGGGACCCGTTCATCCGTTTCTATTTGCATGTTTTCTAAACTAAAACCAGGCTTTGTTGGGCTGCTGGATTAAACCTGGAACTAAACGCTATTTCTGACATTTTGGATTGAAAAAGCTTCCTGGATGGAAGAGAAACGTCTTCAAACTTGGAAACAAAGTCCAGTGGATTGTTTTTCATTTTTCTGGGTTGATTAGAGACGTTGTTTAGCAAAAGGAAACCAGTAAAACCACCATNCAGTGGATTGTTTTTCATTTTTCTGGGTTGATTAGAGACGTTGTTTAGCAAAAGGAAACCAGTAAAACCACCATGATCCCCGAGTTCATGACTGTTTCAATATCTGCAAGCAGATCAACAGTTACATCCCTGATAACGCCTCCAGCTTCAGAACAAGATTATTATCACTGCTTTAAACTTTGCTTTCAGAGTGTTTGAAGCTTCCTGCTTTATGGTTCAGAGTTTGTTTGATTTATTTTCACAGAGCACCAGAGGAATACAGACGTGGATCTGTTTTTCTGTTTTAAAGTTCTAAAGGCTGCAGCTCTTTATGTGCAGCTTGTTTGTTGCAGACAGGCATCAGCAGCTTGGATACTTCCAGCGACACAGCGTCTGTAATCTCAGTTCTTCACTGAAACTGTTGCAACTGAGGAATGTTGAAGGATTCATAAGGAACCAGAAATGGATGAATGTGCTGATTGGCTCCTTCTTTGTTGACAGTTTCATGGACTAATGGCAGCTTCAGGCAACAGTTCCTGTTTGTGTTAATTTTAGCAAACTGCTGCAGGTTAGAGAGGTAGAGGAGCTCAGAGGGAGCAGGAATATTGACGGTAACTGAAAGAAGCTTATTCTGTATTGTTTTTAAGCAGCTATGCTAAGTTTCTCCACATGTATTTTACTATTAGGGGGGATTAGTTTCTGTCAGCTATGGTTTTTATAAACTTATTTATTCTTAGTTTAAAACTGTTTAAATTGACTGTTTCTGATGAGCACATTATCCATGAGCTGGGTGTTATTCACAAGTGCTATACTTGTCTTGTTGCTGAAAGTCTTGTCTTGACTTGCCTGCCCGAACCCAGATGTCCCGGGAACAGCTGGCTGTGCAGCGGGCCAGGCGCTCCTTCCAGACAGGCAGAACCAAACCTCTGGAGTTCAGAATCCAGCAGCTGAAGAGGCTGCAGAGCTGCTTCCAGGAGAGACAGAGGGACATTAAACGTGCTCTGCAGAAGGACCTCGGCAAGGTGGGCAACAGGTGCATCTTTGACTGAAATATCTGGTTCCTAACATCCAGAACTGGAAATCTTTCCCCACCAGAGCGAGTATTCCTCTGAGCTGTATGAAATGCTGCTAGTGGAGGCAGAGATCCACCTTTCAGTGACGAGGCTGGCAGAGTGGGCAGCTCCTCGGCCCGTGGAGAAGAACATCTTCACGCTATCGGATGATGTCTACGTCAAACCAGAGCCCCTGGGAGTGGTTCTGATCATTGGACCCTGGAACTATCCCTGGTCTCTCACTCTGCTGCCACTAGTGGGAGCTATAGCAGCAGGTAGGCCTTGTTTTCAGCCTCTAATGAGTGAATGTCAGAATTCAGCTAATAAACCTCGACTCAGCACTGATAGAGAAATGAATGAGGAGAATCTGCATGTTGATGAGTCTGGTTATTTTTCTACTGAGATCAATGAAAATAACTTGATTCAATTCACATTACACACCATCTACTTTAGTTAAACAGTTTAAGGGTTTAGCAGTGGTTGACAGAGTAATCAACTGTAGAACTTTATTTTTTAACCTTACCTTTTTCATCATTCTGCTTCATTCTATCTCTATTCTCCCACTCTGCAGAATCTGTTAGTTCAATCTCTAACGTTCTGCTCTCTCTGCTTTTTCTCATAGTAGCTTCATCTGGTCTGTTCCTGTTTGGCTGTGACTCCATCCTGG